TGTGGCTCTACATTAGTATCTATCTAAGTGTGCCTTTGAAGCAGATACTTTTCATAGTTTGAAAGAGGTGAGGCACCATTCAAATTATATAAATCTGAGCTGTCAAATAATCCTGGGTTAAATATATATTTTTGGATGCATTCAAGAAGTAAGATTTCTAAGGCATGTAAACTGCTTGTTCTGCAGTATGAAAATAAGCTATAGTTAACTCTTTCGACTACTTAGTTCTCAATCCAGGAAGAATAACGCTGTACTTTTTTCTTTCTATCATTACTTTACAAAATTTTAATTATTACTCTGCTCAGGGTCATACAACATTATTCTCTATTTATTCATTTCATTTAACAAACAGCACTTACCATGTGCCAGGCACTGTCCCCTCCAATGAGGATATAGGCAATTGGGCAGCTTATATTTGCTCGTCTTTCAGGAAGTAGTATGACATATTGGTTAAGTGTACAGATGATGGAGTAACCTGCCTGGCTTTGAATTCCAGCTCTGCCATCTAATGAAATGACTCTGGGCAAGACATTTAATCTCTTTGAGCTTCAGTTTCCTCATTTGTCAAATGGGAAAAATAACACCATTGACCTGAAGGTGGTTATTTTCATGATTAAATAATATAACATAAAATGCTTAGACAAATACCTGGCACAAGTTAAGCCCTTGAAAAATTGTAACTCTTATTATTATCATTATTTTTTCCTGCCATATTTATCTGGAAACATGGAGATGAGCAACTTATATTCATGGTAACAACTATATTGGCATATTCACCATTTTCATTTATTGAGCCACTAGACAAATTGACTAGTTCGATAGAAACATCTCTGGAATGTTACCCAACTTCTATTGTTTGTAGACTTTGGTATATATTATGTTTGAAGGTTTCATGAACAAACTGTAAACATTTCCATAATACATACTTTGCCTTTTTATCTTTCTTACAGAAATAATAAACCAAAGAGCCTACAGTGAACACTAAAGAGTTTTAACCTAGCATTAGAACACCCCAAATAAAGATACAACCTTCTGGAGATCCTAATTCTCTCTTCTCTGGATATAACATGTAATGCCGTAATTGAGGATGACACTGAATAATCTGGTTATGCTTTTCCTTACATTTGCCATCTAGAGAGACCATTTTTATGCTGTAAAGCTTGTTCTGTCTTGGTGTAAGCATGATTGTCAGACTTTCTGGGACTAATAACATGTAGCAATATATTAATAGGTTAGAAATTTTTTTAAAGCAACTTCATAGTTTCACATATTTTTATAAGGTAAAAAGACACAATCAAATTTAGGTGTACATTCCATTTAGATCAATCCTTTCAAATAAACAGATGTCAGACAGCTGAAAGTTAAATCAAGGTGTTCATTATAGTTGGCAGACTACAGATATCATGAAATTTCACTATCTCAATTTTAAGAATTCTCTCTTCATCTTTAAGATCTTGAGGGATGTTTTATCTGTAAGGGTGGTTCTTATATGAAACCACTCAACATTGACAGATGTAGTGGGTCCAATCTTATAAAATTTTGAAATTGTACAATATAAAAATATTAATAAAGTTTGCAGTAATGTGGATTTCCCCAAATTAAAAATTTATCAAATTATCACAATCTCAAATTTCAAACTGCTTTTTTGCTTTTGCCACATGGCGGCACCACTTTAGCTGGTAAAGAAAAACTTTCACCATTTCTTGCCAGTGTTGGTCTCCAATTGTATGAGGTCTTCAGAAACAGCCCTCTCATCAAATACATCAGCCCTGCTTTGACTGCCAGAGTAGTAATGTTTGTTTTCTCCTATACTTTTGCTAGTACAGTGTGTTTATATAGAGTTTCTTTACCCATTAAAGTTTTAGTTTTTAATTGATTTTTTTTTTTTTTGCTTCTCATGGAGAAGTTTAATTAAAAATTCCTTGAGAACATAATGAGGTTAGTATATTAGCTTCTGAATTATTTTTTCATAGACTTTGAGAGCTGGAAGAGACCCCCGCCCAGTTTACCTAGTCTAACTCCTTTACATGAACACATCAAAAAACTGAGTCCATTAAGTAATGGGGTTAGGACAATGTAGGGAGGTGAGGGCAGGACAAAATCTAGTTCTTTCTCCTGAGCCAAGAGGCTTTTGGACTTGAAGTGCTAATCACACTTGAAGAGGCTAAGTTTATAAGGACACTTAAGTTATGCTTCTACATACAAACCAGTGTGAAAAGAAAAAAAAAAGCAGTTCAAGTGAAATAAAGAGTAAAGACTCTGAAGCCAGCACATTCACTGAAGATAGTTCATTTTGATTATTTATAGGACCAAAGTAAAGATTTAATTAAAAACAACTTCTGTTTGGCCTCATGTATATTAAACATTCAAACTGTTTTTACTTTTACAAATCCCTGAATCAAATATGGCCACAAAATGACTAACAGCATTTATTAGCTAAAGAAAATAATAATAAAATTCTCTTAAATGAATGTGTTTCTGAGAGAAGCATCCGGCACTTTGGGAAGTCTTACTCCCTTGTTTATAGCACTGCTCTAGCATTGGCAAAATCAAACTTACCTCTAATCCAGTGACTTAAAATACTGAAGGCAACGTTTAAAAGGAATATTAACGAATCATTTTTTGTGAGGTACGCAATCTGAAATTTTGTCTTTTTTTTGGTTTGAAGGTAGAATGAAAATTCTTTAAAGAATCATATAAAAATTATTTTATAAAATGCTTCTCAAGGAAAGGATGCTATATACTTTCAGAAATTAAAAAAAGAAAACTCATCGGGACCCTTTTGTAACATTGATATGAGAGTGAGAAATATTTACCTACTTAGCTTTGATACTGACTTTTATTGGATAAAGTTACATTAAACGGGAATCAATGAGCTAATACGTTGTGTCCATTCTATGTTAATAAACTTTTGTCCACTCCACTTGAATCTCAAAAATAATCCATTTACTAATTTAATCACAATCAGTACAGACTTTACTAATTGGTAAATGTATTATTTAATTCCAAAATATTTAAGAGTTGCTTTGTAGTAATTTTCAGAAGTATTTAAACACATTGATAAAATAATGAACAAAAAAAGTCTTCCTCGAATCTTTTCTTAACTAGTATCATGTTAGAAAGAGAAAGGTCTTAAAGATCTCTTGGTAGGTAACCTCTTCATTTAGGCAGTGGTTCTCAGACTCCTGGGATGTTCTAGAAACCTCTGATAATCAAATGCACTGAGTCCATGGACCTTGGATCAGTAATCCCGAGTTACTGGGTTAGAACCTGAAGTCAGAGAAGTCTGGTGACCTGCTGAGGGTCTCAGAGCTCCTTTTGCTTACTCGCACTATAGTTACTGATTGTGTGAAAATAAACTAAGGAACCCCAACTCCTCAATTCTTAAAATGCATACAGCCAGATACATATGGACAGCAAGAGCATAGACATTTAAAAACAGAGCAGAAAAAAGTAACTTGAACAGAATGTGGCATTTCCCTTGGTCTGTTGCTAACGGCCCACATACAACATGCTTTAAAAAACCCACCCTGGCACTTATTTTCATCATCATTTAAAAATGATTCAAATGGACATTTAGAATGTATGGCATTGAGCATGTATCCCATTTCCTTTAGCAGAGCTGTGTTTTCAGTGGTTATCAGGCTACCACTGATGTGTATTTGGTTTCTTCTCTTTGGTCATGCGTTTAAAGCCAAACACGATATTTTAATTGTGTATTTTCAGTACTCCAGAGCCAGTGACACTAAACATTTCTTTTTGTAAGGAAAATAATTATGGACATGATCTTTTAAATGCCTTCAAGATTTGAAGATGTGAAAAAGACATGGAAAAAGGAATGATTTCACTTTATTTATAGTATACATTTTATTTTTTATTGACTTGGAAGCCAATAGTACTTTGTTTTATTAAAAACTAGATACTTCTGCCTCTTAGCTGTCATTTTTGGGGTGGCTGTTTTCTGAATTTTGTTCCAATTAGAGTTCGCACAAATTCTGAGGGTTGGATAGCCCATATACTCATACATACTCGGCACTACAATTTAAAACTTCAATAAACTCAGACAAGACTCCATAACAAGCCAATAGGCTAACAACCTGTTTTGATGTTTCCTGCTGTCAGCAAACACTTCCTATTGATAACTGTTCTAAAGAAGTTTAAACAATTTTACCATAACACTGGGAAGCTCCAAAAAAGTAATAGTGGCTAGGTGAAGTGAAAAACTGACCTATGATAGAATATATTTGTTTATCATTCTAGTAAGCATAAATTCAGGGAGCTCATATCCACAGCTTTTCTCAGCCTCAAGTTTTTGGTCCTGAATGTTACACTGTAGGCTTTATGTTTTAATCATTACCTCAATCTAAAAATAGAAATTATCCTATGGGGAAAACATCTCCTTCCTTTGGCCTACACTTCTAGAGGATTCTAATGCTTCCTTGCTAACCAGTGTTTTAGTACTGCACACCTGGACACATCACACAGTATAATATATGTAGTCAGGCTTTGGAGAATTTATTTCAATTTACATACAATCCTCCAATTCCTCTGGCGATCTCCATGTGAAATCTGACACAGCCACGTCTCCCCAGCAGGATCTTCCTTTGCTCGCTATGTTAATAGCCAAAGGCTCCAAGGATCCCTCCCGGAGAGCCGAGGTGGGGCTAAGGGAAGAGGGGTGACTGCGGGGCTTGTTGCGCTCGAGATTTACAATGTACTTCTTGCAGGCGGCTCAGCAACCCCCTCTGTGGCTGTGGGTGTCTGGTGTGACAGAGCGGAGAAAAGCTCTCTAATCTCCCAGTGCCTGCCTCTGCCGCTCAACCGCTCCCCTCCCTCCCGCCTTCCCTGCCTCCTCGCGCTCTCTCGCTCTCTCCTTTGCCTTTCTCCGGGAGTTTCAGTCCCTGAATGCAGCTGGAGTAGCCCTGGCAATCTAAACCCGGAGCCTGTGTATACACACACACGCACACGCGTGCACACACATGCACACGCGATCGCACACACGCACTTCGGCTCTCCCCCTGGGGGTATGGAGCAGACCCAGAGCTTCATCTACCTGAAGGGGATGGCCCGGCCGGACACTTCTTCCTCACTTGTCATCTCCGGAGGGCAAAGCAATATTGGAATGAGAGAGGGTCGTGGTCCTGTCTGCAGCCTCACGCCGTTTGCCGCCACCGTTGCCTAAAGTATCCAGGGTGGAGGAGAAGGCTTCTCCAGGACAGATCCGCGTCGCAGCTTCGCGGCCCTGGGACTGTAGTCTTTCCCTCCTTGGCCATCCTCTCCTCTCCGGCTGCAGAGTGTATGGCTCGGGCGCCTTCCGTGCTGCCGCCGCCGCTACTGCTGCTACGAACACATCCCACCCAGAGGACTGAACGCCGCCGCTGGAGTCGGGGGAGAAAGCGGAAGCCCTAACTTCCCTCCCTACACCCTCGCTTTCCCCACCGCTCCTTGTCCTTCTCCCCGGCCGACGACCGGTGGGAAGGCTCCCGCGGAAAGCTAGGCGAGAGCGCAGCGCAGGGAGGGAGAGCGGGAGCCGCAGGCGCGCAGGGGCGGGGGCAGCATGTGCCCCAGCGCCGGGTGCTCGCCCGAGAAGTAGCGCGCGCCGGGGCGAGCGAGACGCTTTCCAAGTTGGGCGCGTCCCAGAGCTCACCGCCCTGTGCCTCGGCCGCCCGTGTCCGGAGAGAGGCGGGGCTGATGGGGGGCGCGGAGGCTGTCGTCGCCTGCGGCCAGAGCCCGTCTTAAAAGAACCCGGGCTAGCATCCCCAGGGTCCCAGCCGGCGTCGCGCCCTCGGCCCGCGTGCGCTCTCTAATGTCTACTCCGGCGGTGGCCCGGGTGGCCCGCCCGTGGGGGGTGCCGGAGGGGGCGGGGGAGGAGGAGGAGGCGGTGTGATGGCCCTGGACGGCGAGCGGGGGGAGCAAGAGGAGGAGAAGAAAAAGAAGAAGAAGAAAAAGAAGAGGAAGAAGAAGAAGGAGAAGGAGGAGGAGGAGGGGGCTGAGAAGAGCAGCTCACCCTTCGCGGCCACGATGGGAGAAGACGACGCCGCGCTCCGGGCCGGCGGCAGGGGGCTCTCGGACCCGTGGGCGGACTCCGTGGGAGTGCGACCCCGCACTACGGAGCGCCACATCGCGGTGCACAAACGGCTTGTGCTGGCCTTCGCCGTGTCCATCGTGGCACTGCTCGCGGTCACCATGCTCGCGGTGCTGCTCAGCCTGCGCTTCGACGAGTGCGGCACGAGCGCAGCGCCAGGCGCCGACGGCGGCCCCGCGGGCTTCCCCGAGCGTGGCGGCAACGCGAGCCTCCCGGGAGCGGCCCGGCGCAACCACCACGCAGACGGGGACCCCACGCAGTCCGAGGCAGGCAAGGCGTCCAGCCCGGGGACCCCGTCCGCCCAGCCGCCGTCGGAGGAGGAGCGGGAGCAGTGGCAGCCGTGGACACAGCTGCGCCTGTCGGGCCACCTGAAACCGCTGCACTATAATCTGATGATCACCGCCTTCATGGAGAACTTCACCTTCTCTGGGGAGGTCAACGTGGAGATCGCGTGCCGGAACGCCACCCGCTACGTCGTGCTGCACGCCTCCCGGGTGGCGGTGGAGAAGGTTCAGGTGGCGGAGGACCGGGCGGCCGGGGCTGTCCCAGTGGCCGGCTTTTTCCTTTACCCGCAAACACAGGTCTTGGTGGTGGTGCTGAATAGGACTCTGGACGCGCAGAGGAATTACAACCTGAAGATTATCTACAACGCCCTGATCGAGAACGAGCTCCTGGGCTTCTTCCGCAGCTCCTACGTGCTCCACGGGGAGAGAAGGTACGGAGGGAGGCGGTGCCCCGCGCCGCCCCACCCCGCCAGGCTGCTCGAACCGCTGGGCGGCCGGCGACCCCGGGGACCCGGCTGGCTTCCAATACCTGGGAAGCCAGGGGTGGGAGAAGGAAGCGAAAGCGGGATAGAACCATTACCTAGACCCCTCGGGGTCTCCCAGATGCCTGGGCTCTCTTGCTGCTGCCAACTCCGCAAACTCATTCACCGGTGGCAAAAGATGAATGCCGTCCCCTCCTCTAGTTGGGACCTCCCCCATCCCAGGTCAAAGTTTCCTAGCCACTAGAACGCTGGGCTTTTCCAAAGGGTAGCTTGTAATCTGCGCGATGCCAGAGCGACATGAAAAGCTTGCCAAGTTACCATCGAGGGAAAATACATGAGCTCCAAAGGCCGGGGCAGCAGCTCATCCTGGTTACGATGTCTGGGCAGGGCAGGCACCACCCGCCAACATTCCCACCTCCCCTGACTATGAGTAGTTCATTTGCAGGCGCACAACAGACAGTGGGCTTGGGAGGGCATAAAGTTTTCCCAAACTGCAAGTTGAGATTCAGAGAAGAAAGAGCAGTTCCCAGTGACAGGTTGAGGGGGTAGGAGCGGGGCTGGTGACTGCCACGACCAAAGCCAGCGAGAGACGACCTCGTAGGCTTTGCCAACTCTGTACTAACGCAGGGAGACTCCAGTTGTTTGTTCGTGAGTCGCCGCCTCTGGAGATGACTACAGTGGTGAAGGATGGGAAAGCTAGCGGTCAGTCTCAAATGACTCGTTAGTGAGTGCCTTTGATGCGTTTTAGATTTGGGCAGTATTCTTTATTTTTCAAGAGGCTGTGGGCGTTTCACCACTTGTTTAGAGCTCAGACTTGGTAATCCAATAGAACTGAGTTCAAATCCCCGCTGATCCTCTAATTGTGGTGAAGGTTTGAGGAAGGTGATGATCTAAATCGCTAATTCCTGACAATGGCTATCTCTAGTGCCTATTGCACGCGGGTTAGGAACTCAACCCAACAAAAACTCTGTGGGATAGATGCTATTATCACTCCCAATTTGACAAGTGGACAAATGGAGGCACAGAGAAGTAACATAACTTGTCCCAGATCACAAAGCGAGCTGACAAAGCATGAATTTAGACCCAGGGAATTTGGCTGCAGAGATCATGCTCTTAATTCTAACTTGGGGATAATAATAATAGTAATACTATACTCACTCATAAGTTTGGCGTAGATGTCTGTGAGCAAATGCATTGAAAAGCACTTAACCCTGTGCCTGGCATATAGAGTGTCCACCATAAATGCTAGCTCTCATGAGCATCCTGTGGTAGTAAGCTCTCAAATATGTTGTTGAGTAAATGAATGATTCTTTTTCTTTGCTCTAACCCATTGCATTTTAAATAACCTTGACTAATTAAATGACTATAGGGCACATGAACAACTAAAGCAAACTTAAAAATGAAATCAACAACTTTAGAAGAGGCAGGTTGGAGATTAATAATCAGGCAGAGCCTCCTTTTCTCAGGTGATTTCTCACAATAGCAGAAAACTGGGGCTCAGAGCGGCTCAGGGCATCTGAGGATAGCAGACTTGTCAGTGAGAGCTGGGACTCGAATTTTGGTTCTCTAATCCCTGGACCTGCCAGAGCTTATGGTGTTTAGAAACTCTCAGAAAAAGTTGTTGTATAAGAGGCTAGGAAAGTTTTTATGTGTTATGAAAGTACACAGAAGTTCTATTATTTATAGAGAGCTATGAAGTAACCTGATATAAATAAAATACTCAATGCTTTAGTAGTTGTATGATAGTTGAAACCTTCTATCAGTGAATGTATAAATTATTTACTTTCTAACTCCTAAAATCAGATGTAGATACTCTAAATTCCCTTCTACAACTTCCTCCAATATGTTCTAAAGAATACAGATTGAAGGTATTTTTTTAAACTCACAATCATATCAAATATGGGGAAAAGGCATAGAAGGCAAATTTGCATGTTATGTTGAGAAACAAGCATATTATGTCAAAACGTCAATAGTGAGAGTTACATATCATTACTGATAAATCTTGCTGTGGTGAAATAAATACTTGCAACAAATTCTGTTTTTTAAGCCATGCCAAAATATATTTGGCAGAACTGAGCTTGTTTTGGTCAGTGCTTTCAAATTAACAGGACTCTTAAAAAGACCAGATGTTTCTGCTTGACCCATAACTAATTTCTTATACCCCCTAGTCCATATTTGTATTCAAACTCTCTCCTTCAGTTTTCCCCAAAGATGTAAATAACTTCATTGAAAGTTTAACCTAAGGCACATGTAGTTAAACTTCGCATCCCGGTATAAATGCAGGATTCAGTGTGCTGGAAATCCAGGATGGTTTTATTTCGAAACAGCATTTTAGAAAAAGTCCTTGTTCCTCTTCCCGCCCCCACCCCCATACCATAGTGAATCTTATAATTTCTTGGATGTTTCTACTGTAGTTGATAAAAGCAAAAAAAAAAAAAAAATTGAACCATTTCACAATTATATCAACATTCCATATATTAAACCTTTCTGTTGTTGTTGTTACTGTAGCCACTTGAAGCATTCTTAAACAGACCGATATCAGGAACTCAGCCAGGGTTGGACTTTTATTGTTGATGATTTTTTTCCCCTAAAATGCAATGTAAATTGGCATTTTAAAACCCTTTTTCAAATAGGACACAGATGCAAACTCTGAATTTTCATTTGATTAATGATTGAATGTCTTGGTTTTCAGTTAGTCATAATTTTTGCCAATCTAATTATATGATAATTTCTGTAATGAAAATGAATATTTAATCTGCCAAACGAAGTCACATTGAGCAACTTAAAATACTTAAAAGAGGAATACTACAACTCAGTCCACTTCACTTAGCCTATGTGAAAACAACAAGTTATTAATATCCTATCACTCTGATTCTTCAACTTATTCCTCACAGATCTGAGAGAAAGAATTTTGGTGAGGGCAGGAAAATTAGATTCCATGTGTGCCATATGCCTTTGACCCCTGAAAGGTTTTTTTCTCTCATTGGTTGTTAGAGGGAGCCTGGTTTTGTATTATAAGGAAGACTTGCTTTTTCCTGGTTCCCATACTTTAGCGGATAAAGGTTAGAAGACAAGCTGAAGCCCAAGGTTTCCCAATTTGAGGCAAATTCTCTACTCTTTGTTAGTCATTTGGCTAGGAAAGAAAACGCAACACCTGTTGAATATTGAAAATAAATAAATTCTCTTAAAATTTAAATGTTTACACATAAGCAGTAAATTATCTCCATTAGGCAGAACCTACACTCACTTTTTCCTCAACTAGGTGTGCAGCAGGCAGATAAAAATGGTTGTATATTTATGCCATATTCTCCTATGGGAGAATATGCTTACTTACAATTAGGTAAAATGTTTATTTACCTGAAGTAATTGCTGCTTTTGGGTAGCCAGATGGTGAATACACCCATGTTCAAAGTAGGGTACCTTAATTTAGATCCAGATGGTTGAATTGAAAGAGGAAATTTACCCAAGGTAAATGAACATTTTATTCACTTTCAAAAGGGAGACGATTTTTCTTTGACACACTTTGATTGGGTCTATAACATGCCAAAGTAACAGAAGACATTAAAAATAGGAGGTCTTTTTCTATAAAGGATTGTTTAAAGAGAAACTATGATCTCTGAGTAAAGTGGGAAAATAATAATGTGGTTCTCAAAGAGAATTGGGACTACCCTATTTCAAAAATTGTGTGGAGAGCATGGAAGGTTTTATTTCTGGGTAGGTATTTTGCTCAATTTTGACAATGGTTTGATTGTATGGTTTGATGCTTCTGTAATTTTTCAGGAATGAATTAATAA